TACAGACATTTTATATGCAAAAGGTTTAAGAGAAGGTTAAAAAAGGTAAAATCTTCATTTAAAAATGCGCTGGCTTGAAACTCATTTCCGAGCCAAGGTTTCTTCTATACTCTCTCTTAGAATTATCTGCAGAATCTGGAAATATCATGCGATTTATTAAAATGCAAACTGATCCAGCCTAAATTAATCGACAATAAAGTCAAAAATTTTAAAATAGTAGAATGTCCTACAATCAGGCATATTCTTGTTTTCGTACGAATCGAAAATTTAAAATTTTTGTATTGAAATTGATAGGAAAATTTCATGATTTTCGATTCGTACGAAAACAAGAATATGCCCCAATATTTTATTTATTTCGCATCTTTGTTTCATTTCGGGGAATGCAAAGTAGAAGGTCCTATAACATTTTTTTTTTAATTCGCTTCTTTGCTTCATTTCAGGGAATTCAAAGTAGAATGTCCTGCAATATTTTATTTGTTTCGCTTCTTTGCTTCATCTTGGGGAATGCAAAGTAGAATGTCCTACAATATTTTATTTATTTCTCTTCTTTGCTTCATTTCAGGGAATGCAAAGTAGAATGTCCTACATTTTTTTTTACTTTGCTTCTTTGCTTGATTTCGGGGAATGCAAAGTAGAATGCTGCATCGTAGTCAGCTGAAAAATAGAATGAATATCCAAACATTATTTTTCTACCGTTACTTTCTGTGGAAATTTGTCTCGGATAAAAATCATATTCAACAATTTTTATTGAGCTTGAGGCCGTTTTTAATGAAAAACTTATTGTGGAAAAGCAACAATAATTTGAAAAAGTGGTAGAAGTGATAGCTATTTCGGAAATCGCCACATTTCCTCATCAGACTTCTTTCAGTAGGATTCGAACCGACGATCCCACTGACTCAGCCAGTTGCTTACGCACGGTGCTAAGTTCGCCTTGTAAATTATCGTTGCTTTTTCCCACTTTTTATAAGCTTTTATTTAACTTGGTCATCCCGCGCAAATCGCGGAAATTTCCAATCGATTTTAAACTGACTTCCCGACAAGTTAGAGACCTTAAATTTTCAGCATAGTTCCAATCACGATGACAATGCAATTTAATATATAAATTAATTCCCCATATGGTCCAGGGGTCTGAATTCAAAGGCGCGTAAAAAAAAAGTAATATTTATGGCTAACAGAGCGTAATTTGCCAAAAAACGTAAAACCACTATAAAATTGTAAACCTGCCGGCGATAGTGTAGCAAAGCNTCCCGGAATCCCGGGATTACAGCTCCGGGATCCCGAGATTTTTACTGATTTATTTTCATATTTTTACTGATTTATTCACATATTTATCTTGATAATTAGCAACTGAACTTTTTGTACGCTGTAGCAAGGCCTCTTTATACATACCTAGCGAAAGTTATCGAACATTTCATCTTTTATCGCACAATCTCATTCTCTTGTTGTTCACTTTGTATTAGTATTCGTCATAGTTTTACGCAAGAACTGTGACAGAGTTGTTCTTATTTTTACTTTGTTGACGTGGTTTTGTGGAAATTGCATTTCTGCTAATATGAGTAAGAGTTTTTTACAATTACTGTAGATATTTAAGAACTAAAAGTATTAATACATTAAATTTCAGACTCGTCAACTAAAGTGCATTACGCTCCGCATAAAACTAAATGTGGCGACACAGGTTCTGTATGGTTTAATTTTTTGATAGCTGACAACGGTGAGCCTACAGCAAAATGCAAAACTTGTGATAAAGTTTTAAAAACGAATGGAGGTTCTACAAAAGGACTTTTAGTGCATTTACAAGTGAGTGTTCCAAAATTAAACAACCATATTTGTCTCTATGCGAATAGTGTACATCGACAAAAGTTCTTTACCTTTAATTTGGCAGACCCACAACATTATAAAAGAAGCAGAAAGAGATTCTCAAACAAAATGCAAGATACCTCACTATTTCTCTGTTAAGAATGAAGATACCTTTATGGCCGCGGTGGCAAGACTGACAGCACTTGATGGATTGCCATTTTCAAAGTTCATAACATCAGAAGAATTGCGTAAGTCACTTAAGGCATGTGGCTTTAACGTACCCAAATCTGCGGAAAGCATCAAACAACAAATGATGGAATTCTTTTTCAAATGTCGTCAAAACGTTGTAGAAGAAATCACGGCCTTGAAAGATATGGGTAAAAAGTTCAGTTTGGTATTCGACGAGTGGACATCAACAGCTAATAAAAGATACCTTAATATCATTGTTCATGGGAAAAACAAATTTTTCAATATTAGTCTTGTTCGGTTGAAAAATTCTGCCACTGCCGCTGCTTGCCTAGATGCTTTAACAGAAAGGCTTAACGCATTTAATTTATCGCTGTCAACCGATATTGTTGCTATTACGACCGATGGTGCAAGTGCCATGGTTAAGCTTGGAAAGAATATTCCACCAACACATCAGCTTTGTTTTGCCCACACAATTCAATTGGCGGTTATCGACGTATTTTACAAGAAACCGATCTTGGATACCCCAGCTTTAGTTGTGTTCGAGACAGACAGTGATGAGGAGGTTGACTTTTATGATGGAATTGCAGTATGCCAAGACAGGGGATTTTCCGAATTTTCCGAAAATTGTAACATTAAAAGAACAATAGAACAAGTAAGAAAAATTGTCCGTATATTTAGAAAAACGCCTACAAAAACGGATATTCTTCAAAAATATGTTCGTTACGATCACGGAAAAGAACTGAACTAATTCTTGACTGTAAAACAAGATGATGCAGCTTACTTGCTATGCTTGAACGCTTTCTCTTGCTCGAAACTTCTATTAAAAAAGCACTTTTTGACCTCAAAATTAACCCAGTTAGTGATAATGATTTTAGAGTGATTCGAAGTGTGGTTCAGGTTTTAAAACCAGTCCAAATGACAGTCGAGGCATTATGACGAAGTGACATGAATTTGTGTAAGGCGGATGTGGCAATAGTGTTTATGTTAAAGGAAATTTCGAAAACGGATTCCGTTTTTAGCAAACAGCTTTTAAATGCACTTAAACTTCGCATCGCTGAACGAAGGACACCGTATTCGACTGTTCTCAATTTTTTAACTAATCCAGCCATGAAATCTGAGCTCGACGAAGAGGATTCTTTCAGGGTTTCTGAAATTAAAAATCAAATTTTGCAGCTTATAAAAAAACTAGCTACCGAACCATTTGATAGTGAGTCAGTCGAGGGGTGTTTTATAGACGATAGGGATAGTTCAGGAGAGTGTTTGGAAGCAAAATTAAATAAAGCTTTAGAAAGTTGCAGTAGCCCACCAAGATCCCAAAAATCCGTAGCCATTCAAGGGTTAGATGACATCCTTACTGGAGAAATCGACTTATTTATGCACGGGGGTTCGCGTGGAACGTACCTGCAAATGGCATACGACTTTTTACTAACTATTTCGCCAACCAGTGTAGAGTCAGAAAGATGTTTTTCCTCAGCTGGTTACTCTTGCAACAAAATACGATCTAGTCTCGCTGACAATACACTAGATGCTTTAATTTTTCTGAAGTACCATCTTAAGAATTAAAATAGCTCTAATATTCCCAGCCCTAGCCACCAAATTAATGTAAACGACACCATCCGTAAATTTTATTCTTTGATGAAGTATTATTTTTTATTTTTTATGCAATTTGTTTTATGCTTTGTTGAATAAAAGTATTTATAAGACATATGAAATATCATGTGATGCAATATGTGTAAATACATTTGTGATGTAAACAATCTATCTTCATGCTTTAGTTTTATACGGAAATTGTTGTTTTATGAAATAAAATAATTTGTTTAACCAATTTGTATTTCTTTTTATTGTTCTTCCTATAAATCCCCAAAAATCCCGGGATTGTTAAAATGCTTCGGGATTGAATGCCCCAGTCCAGGGGTCTTGATTCAAAGGCGGTCAAAAAAAGTAATATTTATGGCTAACAGAGCGTAATTTGCCAAAAAACGTAAAACCACTATAAAATTGTTAAACCTGCCGGCGATAGTGTAGCAAAGCTATTTGTGGCAAATTCTAAATATCAACCAAGTCTAGATATGAACCTCGTTCTAGGAATTAGAAGACTTCAGATGTCGCCCCGACGGAAGCAGTTAAATATTGCGCCTAAATATATGCCATGCTACAGCGGAAATGGACGACACGCAATTTCTTTAAATAAAATTAACTGCTGTTATATGTACATATGTATGTTTATACAAAACGTAAGCAAACAACATTTTGCTTGCCAAGTCTTCTGTTCTCTTTCATTGCAAGTTGAATTATTTTAATATCTATTGCAAAATTTTTTAANGCAACTATTTTTTTAACGGTGTGAAATTTCATAACAAACTTTTTATGTTAGCTTACGAATTCCTTAGATATAGTTTTAGCTGTTTAAAGTTTATGACATACAGCAGTACGACAGTATACAACACCTTGTG